GTCAACAAACATAAAAATTGGAATGGTGTCGAGGTACCAATCATCTTTTTATTAGCTAATTTGAGGACACTGAATCTGAAAATGGCCTTACATTTTCTTGGTTAGCAACCGTTTTTACTGTACAGAAATACCTCATTTTTTGGAAAAAAAAAACATTTTTTTTCATTTGTTTTCTGTATATTTGATATTGGCCAATGGCAATATTTCTCAAAATAAAATCGTAGAAACCACTCAATTTGTATTTAAACCAACAAATATTGGTCTGATTTTTGAGAAATACTATTTTTGCAATGACAATCAGAACCTAAGTCTTTAAAAATAACACGATTGAATATACCAAGCCCAACAAGTATTTTCATTAAATCATTTCATAAACTATTAGCAGAAATAAAACCTTCGTGAACATAAGAACGACAGTAAAAATATTCTCTTTCTTAAGAGTCTGTCTTGTTCAATATTATTTCAGTCTCATTTGATACTCCAGCAGTGTCATGTAAAATAGAATAGGTTCATTCAATTGGAATGTCTATATTGGAGTTTCTTACTAACTGTGAAAACAAAATGCTCTCAAAGTCCTTGGTTTCCTGCCGTAGTGAAAGGATAAAAGTGATGGGATAAATTTATGAATATCAAACAGAAGATTTTAGGGTTTCACTTTTTTGAAGTCACCTTAATTATCAGGTTTAATAAAGTGTATTACTGAGAAAGTTTATCAGTTAATTTGAATTTTGGCAATAAATTGGAAAAATTGGGTACATCTATTTGAAAATTATGGACACAAAACACATTTATTTTATCAAAATAGTTCATTTCATGTGGCTGACATAAATTGCTCAGCCTACCTGAACATTGATGGGCTTCTAGGATCTTTATTAAGTAAATTTTGCGATCAGCTAAGATCATGAATTGATCTTTTTTTAAAAAAATGAGCAATTTCAGTAGAGCAAAAACGGTAACTAACCATGAAAAACTAAGGTCATTTTCAGAATCAGCGCAATCAAGTTAGCTAAAAAATGTGTTTTGTTTCTTGGCACAAAAAATAGTGTTGACCAGTGTTATTGTTAAAGAAACGTCTGGAAAATTTACCTCTACCGGTCTCAAACGAGGCAAAATAATACAATATATTTGCCTTACATTCAAACACACACCTGTTGTCCATTATATTGGCGGATAACGGTACTCCACTGTTTCCTTTTTTTGCTTCACTCAGTAAGGCCTTCTTTGTGAGACTATATTCTCATTATCAGCACGTGCTTCCCAAAGGTCTCAAGTAAGAAGTAATACAGAAAAGTTCGCGGTCTGCCCGTCTTTCCAAAAGAAGTAAATTATATTTGGTCATTTAATCAATGGATTCAGGCAGTGATTCCTTCTCGAAAATTTATTAATGTTCCCTACAAGTTGTCCATTGTATGATTCTTTTGGTTTCGATGTATCTTGTATGCAAGTTAACTTTTTCGGGACGTCTTTTTTTACCGATACTGTGAGGTCATCCCATAAGTTCTGTCCGAATTTTGAATGAAGAAAATAAGTGACCAAATGTTACATTTAATTACAGATTCAATCAACAATGTATTTTCCCTGATTATCTATGACCTCCTTCCATCTATTAATAAGCTTACTAATTCCATTAATGTAAAATTCTTTTGGCTTTGATTCGAAGAACTCACAAATGTCAGTTTTAACCTCTTCCTGTGTTACAAAAGCTGTTTCTTCCAAATGATTCTGTGAGCTACGAAACAAATGGTAGTCTGAAGGAGCAAGATCGGGAGAATAAGGTGGATGAGGAATTTTCTCCCAACCAAGTTCTTCGATTTTAGTGACATGATTCTTGCTGTTTGGGGTCGCGCATTGTCCTGATGAAACATCACCTTTTTTCGATTCACTAAAGCAGGTCATTTTTCCTCAAAGCTTGGTTCAAATGCTCTGATTGCTGACAGTATATTTGAGCATTAATTGTTGCATTAGGTGGTAAGAATTCAAAGTGGATTATTCCTTGGCGATTTCACCAGATTTAAAGAAGAACTTTTGCCCATGAAGTTCCCTTTCTCGGCTGTGGCTGGGGTCCTTCTCCTTTATCAAACCACTGTCTACGACGCTTAACATTTCGATAAAAGATCCATTTTTCGTCGCCAGACACAAGTCTATCCAAAAAGGTGAAACAAGTTGGCGAGAATGGAGAGAAGGGCAGATATCAACTCGGGATTTGAGGTTGTTTTCAGACAATTCATGAGGCACCCGTTTTCCAAGTTTAGGAACTTTTCCAAGTTGTTGAAGATGACGATGAACAGTTTTATGTTTTGAACTGAGAACCACTGCCAATTCCTCAAATGATAAAGCAGGATTTTCTTCAAGGACTGCTTCAAGAAGCTTTTCATTAAACTCAACTTGACATCCGGTTCGATCTTCATCTTCAAGGGTGAAATCTCCACCTCTGAATTTTGCAAACCATCTTCTGCAAGTTCTTTCATTCACACATTCCTCTCCATAAACTGAGTGAATGTTTCTAGCCGCTTCGGCTGATGAGTTTTCTTCCTTGAACTCATAAAGCATTATGTGCCTCAAATGATTCTTGGGTACTTCCATGTTAGCAGGGTTTTAATCAAACAAAATTTAATTTTATTGTTCTCTGAAATAAAATTTGATCAGTTTAAATGCATCTAAACATAAAAATAATGTTCAGCTCCATTAGACATTATAAAATATTCTTTAAATTTTGTTCATTTTAACAAAATGTTAACATTCGAACAGAACTTATGGGATGACCTGATACATTCCCAAAATTGCACTTTTTCTGTATGTATCATCGTTGCTTTTGCTGAATCCGACTAAAGGTAAATTTTCCACACCTTTCGAGAGTATGGCAATGAAGATGTGAAAAACAGTCCGAATAATGTAGATAATGCAAGTATTCATAATACTTCATCTCAGAGATATAAACAAATGTTATTTAATTTACATATTGTTCAACAAATATAACGCGAAATATCCCCTTAGTGTTATTGGTTGTAGTTGATATATGGGGTTAAGAAGTGCAGATTATAAGAACATTTAAGAAAGATAATGGATGACTTGAAGAGATTAACATTATAATGATAAGGAAAGCACCCTCACCGGAGTTTCTTCCATAGATTATCTCTTCTTCGAAAAAAATTTTGTCTTAATGGAACTTGCTTCTGTGTATTTGTCATAGTTTGTCTAAGCCGTAAAGGTCTGAACTGGTGGAACTAATGGATGACACTACTTAGAACATTTTCCATTGAACCAGCCATAGAGAGCCTTGAGATTTTTTGGCTAGGAAAAGGGGTTATAGGTAAGAAAATAATTAATCATCCACAAAGACGCGTAGACGATTTTGAACTCCGTGAAGCATATACTTATAACATCTCCGCCTAAAACATTGGTACTTTATTTATTTTTGGATTACTTTTTCATTTCTCAATAGGAGTCGATAGATTCGCCTATCGTCCGGTTCACTTTCCTTGCTGGACTATTGAACAGAAGTGAAGTTTTTTCTCTTGTTTCCTATTTAGAATTGGTTTTTCGTTTCCTTCTAATGTCGACTTCACCTCTATATTTCTAACACCTCCGCCTACAGCTCTTAACCAGTATTTATAGTGAATTACTTTTTTTTTCTCAATAGGAGTAGATAGGTGCATCTATCGTTCAGTTTACGCACCTCTCCCTATTTTTCAACAGGGTTAGAGTTTTATTTCTGGTTTTATGTTTAGAACTGTCTTTCCGATTCCTTCTAAATACTTTTACTTCTTAGCTCTTCGACCATGTTTAGGGTGAATAATTGTTATGAAATATGAAAACACTCAAACGAGCACGCAGGATCGCCTCGTCAGTGATGTTATGACTTGGGGTCATCACAAGTTTCGCGTCTTCCAAAATCATATTTGTTTGCCAAAGAGAACCTACCAAAACAGTACTTATTCCGGCAGGCGATCCTGAAGCAAAAATCCGCCAAGCACACAACAAATGGACACATGAAGTAACTGCCACTGCTGATTTTGAAATCACAAGCGACCAATCAGTAACGACCTACGTCATTTCCTCCTCAGCCAAGAGGATACAAAAAGAGAATAGACAACATGCTCGGTCCAACATCTTAGGTCCAACACGCGGAAAGACCCACATTCTCAACGAACAGTTTGACATAACAGGTAAGTAATAGCCAGAAAAGTGTCCTTTTCTATGAAACGTTGCTACAAAAAAGAAAAAAAAATATTCGAAGACATTCGTTGGTAATAGGAATTATGATCAGAAACGTTTCCTGCATTCTTTGTAAAAAAAATAAAAATAAAAATAAAAATTCTTTGTAAAGTGACGCTCGAGCAAATGGAATCAAGATATGACATCAATCTCTTGGAGAGTTAGATCATGCAGGGGGTGTTAGATACTTTCTGGTGGGGTACAAGTACCCCCCTTGGTATTTTTTCCACTGGGTGAGTAATTCCTTCCACTAGATATTCCTGGTATACATGCGGACACAGTAGATAGCAAGATGAATAAAAATTCGAAAATTAAATATCACGTTTCTCTAACACCAACTGTCATATTCCTTTCAAACTCTATTAATTCATCTTCGGTAACGTAGTCAGTGTTTTCACTAACTCAAGAGATGATAGCGCACTGATATAGGTTTCAGTATCTCATAACGTTATGGTGCGGTGACTCTAATTGCAGTTAGACATTATCATGACTTTTGGCACTTAGGTTACTGATTGATTGAGTCGTCTTCTACCAATTATCAACCCGTTGCTAACTATTTAACGCAGAAAAATATTTTTAGATTGTAAGGATAGTTTTGAGATAATAATGGTTTATTTATACAAGTCTTACTAATTAGCAGATAGTTGGTTGGAGATGTGATTCATACTATATCCAAGGTCTTTGACCGTATGTGAATATAGCGGACCAAACCTGAATTGGAACTCGGCTCTCCGATTAACAATTTCAAAGTATTATACATTACACCACCACCCATACATCTTATCTTACAACACCTGGTATTCGCAAGCAGTCATCCATCTAGGTACTGGCCAGGTCCGACGTTGATTAACCTCTGTGATCGTACGGGAGCCGGTGTTTCAACGTAAGTTTACTATGGTGAGTTCGATTGTCATGGTCCTGGTAATTATAATATTAACCGGTCCCTTATAAGGAAACATTCGTAGACCGAGCAGCCGAAGCTACTTTCGTTTGAAATTTATAAAATCCTTCTCTTAAAAATATTTTCCCGGCAAATATGCTTCTGGTATGCACCCGCTGTTAACTTTTTTTCATTATTAATGAAGGTTTCCTTCCTAACTTTTTGTCTAAAATAGTGTGGAAAATCAACATCTTCATTATGTCGTCATTTTCTCTTCGAGTTACATTTTCTCTTCGAGTTTTCCGTTTTATTTGTTACAGTTGTTGAAAGCCCCCGAGTGATGTGGTTTCTGTTATTTGGTACGGTTATTTGGGATTCTGTAGTGCCAGTCCACAAGGTTGAAAAAAGGATCGTCCTCTCTAAGACATACAGATTCAATTCGCTTGAAACCATTTATAACCACAGATCTGTAAAAACGCTTCCATAGAGCTGAACGGTTAGACACTTCTGAACGAAGTTGGCGCCAGACATGACAGCCATATAAAAATCTTGAATGAATAATTTCCTAGTAAAGAGAATATAGTGGTTTCCCTTTAGCTTTCTCCACAATTTGGCACCCAGAGTGTTCTTTTCCTTAGAATGTGATATGTTCCGGAAAGGGATATATTTGAACGAAGTAGCTAAGTGGTTTTGGCTACTATAACCAAGTAGAATACGGTAGCAGTAATCGACTGGTACGCGTCGTAGTCGCAGGTAAGAAATGTAGATCAATACCGTAGTCCAATGGGCGTCGTTATGTCGTTATAGACTTAGCTCTCAGACTAAGGCTTTGACTCTCCTACACGTCCGTCGGTATTTATGACGGACACCAGCCAATCATATTCCAGTGAGGGGGAACACAGGTGTATGTATATTCTATTATACCAGAATGATTGCCTCCCAAGTTTTTATCTTAAACTGATTGATTCCCAAATCTATAGAGACCAGTCTACCCTACGTTTTACTGTTTACTGGCGATAACGGTATTAAAATGCAAGGGGGCTACTGGCAATGAAATAGAATGAAAAGTTTTTTAAAGTAAAAAGAAACCTGGACATAAACATTAAAAAAAGGGATGAACCACTACTCTTGTTAAAAAAAAACGGGAAGGATTATGAACCGGACGATAGGCGAATCTATCTACACTTATCAAACGTTATTTTAACCTTGAGCCAGACTATGCTTAGGGAATTTTTTTCTCATTGACTTTGCTTTGTAGCAAACAACTCTATACTTATATCTATATGTCTGATAGCAAGTTCTAGGAAAAGATACTAAAAGCTAATCACTGGAGACGGGCGCGAATAGATCACAATAGTTTAGGTATAAATAGAATATGGTATATGAGATGCAGAAAAATAAACCTGATAAATGTATGACTAGTGTATCAAAGAGATAAAATCCTAATCGAACATCGGCGTAGTATCCCGCTGGGCGCAGTATGAACGGCGAGTTTAATTGATGACACGTTACTGCATGAGCGTTCGCGAAGCGGGCACCTGATACCTTCCTTCTGACAGTAAAATAAATCATACGATAAACAATGGCTTTCTGAGAAGTGAGCACGACTCTTCCTTCAGCTGCACTGCTGCACTTCACCGTCTCCACAAGCGATAACGGGGGCAAACACATGACAAAGTATATGTAATGACAATATTCAAGAAAGAATGCACACATATGAGCATATTAATGTAAATAGGCGCTTAAATGTATATGCATGTAAACACATCCTCCTGACCATATATATATATATATATATATATATATATATATATATATTATTGTTCGTTTTACATGCATAGACAGGTGTCAGCCTATTGAATATAAACGATCGAGAAACCAGTCTCCCATAATTATATGTCTGAATAGCTCTCTCAGTCTCTCTCAGTAAATCTGCTTCTTAAAGAAGCTCTTCATTCATATACCTTTACACTAGTTTATATCTATGGTCCCACATCTATCTATCTATCTATCTATCTATCTATTTCAGGGACGATTCGCAATCTTCGCTCAAAAACATTCCCAAACATTGCACACCAACCTATTCATCCGCATGTACATACAACTTCCACGCATATATATATATATATATGTGTGTGTGTGTGTGTGTGTGTGTGTGTGTGTGTGTGTGTGTTTGTGATACAATATATATATATATATATATATATATACACATATGCCATACAATATATATGCCATGCAATACATATTAGGTTGGTGCAAAAATAATGTCGTTTTCTCACATATGTTACATTTATATATGATTTCTGAAATAATTCCTTGATATATATAGCCATGTTATATATCATTTTGAAGCGCGTTTTTCGCTCTATCGAATCGTGTTATTCGTCACCGTTCTCAATCTCTTCGTTCATTTTTTTGCAGGCTTTTCGACAGCATGGACAAAATTCATATCCGCACGATTTTCTTGTTCCAGTTCAAACTAGGCCGAAAAGCTGCCGAGACAGCCCGTGATATCAATGAAGCGTTTGGCCAAGGACCATTAACGAACGTGTGGCACAACGGTTATTCAAGAAATTTCGCAATGGTGACGAGAGCCTCGAAGATGAAGACAGTCGCAGCAGGCCGACTGCGGTTGATAACGAACATTTGAAAGCTTAATTGAAGCTGATCCTTGCAAAACCACACAAGAAGTTGCTGTTGAGCTCGAGGTCGACCACTCAACAGTCGTTCGCCATTTAAAGCAAATAGGGAAGTCAAAAAAGTTGGATAAATGGGTGCCGCATGAATTGAACGATAATCAAAAAATCGTCGTTTTGAGATTTCTTCTACGCTCCTTCTGCGCAACAAAAACGACCCATTTCTCGAGCGGATTGTGACGTGTGATGAGAAGTGGATCCTCTATGACAACCGGCGACGTTCGGCACAGTGGTTGGATGCCGGAGAAGCTCCACAACACTTCCTGAAGCCGAAATTTCACAAAAAAAAAAAAAAAAAAAAGGTTATGGTGACTGTTTGGTGGTCTGCGGCCGGTCTCATCCATCACAGCTTCTTGAATCCGGGCGAAACGATTACGGCGGAGAAGTACTGCCGACAAATTGACGTAATGCACCAGAAGCTCAACGTATGTGCCCGAGATTAATCAATATGAAGGGACCAATTCTCCTCCATGACAACGCTCGCCCGTATGTTGCTCAACTGACCCTGCAGAAGCTGAACGAATTGGGCTACAAGACTCTGCCTCATCCGCCATATTCACCGGACCACTCGCCCACCGATTATCACTTTTTCAAGCATCTCGACAACTTCCTGCGTGAAAAATGCTTCAAAAGCCGGATTTCTATGCTAATGGGATAAATAAACTTGTTTCTCGTTGGCCAAAATTTTTCGATTCTAATGGTTCTTATTTCGATTAATAAAGTTTATTATGAAAGGAGTTATGGTCTTTTGAAGTTGAACGTCAAAAAACGACATTATTTTTGCACCAACCTAATACATACATATATATATATATATATATATATATATATATTGATAGAAAGTAAGTGAAATTGAACATGGAAATCAACACCGCATGGTGACTGTCAGTTTCACATCTTAACTGATCATCTGGCGGTCACTTAAGTAGAGAAACTGCCAGTTAGTATGCAGGATTGATTTCTGCGTTAACACAGATTTAATCTAATTTTCATTGTAATCAGTACTATTTCTATTTTATATATATGACAAATTGCAAACAACATCTATCTATCTATCTATCTATCTATCTATCTATCTATTTCAGACTATGCATATCCATCAATCTCTCTATCTATGGATCAGATATAAAAAAAACAAAAAATTAGTACATGAGATGAATCCGAACATCGGATGGGCTATGCTATGCGCAGTTTTCTACAACATTGCAAGATTCTGCTTAACCTGACAACTAGACTAATCTCCTTAATTAGCCTCACCGTATCAAGACTATAATATGGATACCATGCACGGCATCCAATACATTTAGTAATGTCCAATCTAGCAGCAATACACGACCTTTTCCTAGGATTAATAATTAAAATGACATCAAGCGAATAAATAAAAGCCTTCATCCGATCGCATAGACAGGTGCTACAAACTACCAATCAAAGAAGTGTATCATATAAGAAGAACAAAACACATCATTTGAATACTTCCAACAGCGGCAACAACTGAAATATCTAGAACCAAAACCGAAAATAATCATAATCCAGATATGGACTTTCCACACTACCTTAAAAACTTAGCAGCAAAACTCCTACTCATATTAGAAAGAGCGATAATAGTGGACAATAAAACTATATCCCAGAAAAATAGTATTACTAGAAAGATTTTCATAAATTTAAATCGTGTGTAACTAAGTGTTCGGTCAACGAATGCTGAATGTTTTTATAATTGAAGGGCTAATTTCACCTTTAAAAACACCTTTACTATTTGCAATGTTTAAAGTTAGAAAAGAAAATTTCATCAAGACTAGAATGAGTTTTAACAATTACTAGAGTCTAGAATCCTATTAACCTGTCAGAAATATTTAATAGAAAGATTTTATAAATTTCAAACGACGACAGTACAAGCGACTCGGTGAATGTATTCCGAATATTTCCTTATAAGCAAACGGTTAATATTACCATCACCATTAGAGATGAAGAGAACAAATACAACAAATTTTGATACCAACCAGATGGCCATGGAGTGGAGAAAAGAGGGAGGGATGTAAAGAATATGCAGTGCACATTATGAACACGCAAAGGATCGATATCGATTGACCCTGGATTTGAAGAGACTAAGTTTGTTCTTTCCAGGGAAGAATCCTGACGAGAGTTCGAAAAGTAAATGGAGTAGAAGCTGCACTTACTCCGTATCGAAGTAATAGAATTAATACGATTTGCTACGCGGGGAGTAGCTGTGAAGATACTAACTGGTGGAACATGGAAAGTAAGTGGTACGCACATCTGGCATAGTAATAGCGACATAGTAATGAGACACTAGG